CAGGACGGTCTCCCGGAGAGTTCGCCCTGAACCTGGCACAGGAAGAGAGACACCCGGTGGTTTGCTGAGTTTCCTGAGGTGACTGTTGCCAAGCTTGATGCCACCACCATGTCACCTCTCTGATTGCTGGGGCAGATGGCTCAGGCTCCCCCCAGACCAGCCCATTGTCTTTTTTCTCTTTTGTTGGCAGTTTCCCACAGGTGATTGTTTTCTGTGTGTGCTGCTGGCAGAGAAGACTCACCAGAGCAGCCCCCAGATACCTGCAAGGCCACAGAAGGACCAGGCCAAGCTTGCCATGGAGGCTGACCAGTGTGGTGCACTTTAGGAAAGGATCAGGCCCTGCAGATCCACTGAGTGCTGAGCAGAGCCCATCCATGCTGGAGACACCACCTGAACCCCAGCTCTTCACACCATTCCTACAGCCACGCTGGGAATGTCCTCACCTCAGCAGGACTGGTCATCCAGGGCACCCCACAGCAGGATCGAGTGCACCAGCTTCTTTTCTGCTTTTGCTCTCTCAAAAGCTTGAGTGAAGGGAAGATAGGAGACCTGAGGACAGACAGATGGCTTGAGAAACAGACACAGAACAGCCCACCTCAAATATGAGCAGGGTCTGAAGGAACCAGACCTGCCACATCCCACAGGTGACACACACAGAGTTTAATGTGCAGCAGATCCTGCAGAATAAATCAAATGACAATCACAGTGCACACCCCAGGGACAACTTCATCTCCTGGTGAGACCACAGGGAGCTTCTCACAGCACATGGGCTGTTACTGGCACCCAGAGCCCCACCTTTACACACTGCAGAACATCTGCAGAACTGCAGCCAGGCTGCCTGCAAACCCACCTCAGCAGACTGGGAAACCTGGCCTGGAGATATTTTTTTACAATACCTAACTGAAATGGCCTAAAAACTGGCTGTGAGGGACCCTGCACAAAGACTGTCCAATCACTTGAATGAAGAGAACTTTATTAACATCTTGGCAGCTTAAAGAGACATTTGTAAGCTCAGGCACAAGGAGGCAGCCATTGAAACGTGTCCCTTCAGCCAAGGAAGTGGTGACAGGCAGTAGCCACCTGCTCCACAGGCTACTGGCATGGTAAATAGTTTGGGTCACCCAGTGTTATAAATTTGTGTCTCACTGGGGGGATGCAGAGGCACAGGCAGACTATGTGTTTTGTGCTGATAAGGAAAGCTTGGTCCAAAGGTAGCTGAACATTGCACCAGAAGAAAACCATTTGTAAGCAGCACAATCACCTACTCCACTCAGAAATGGCATCAGCAGCTACTGATAAGAGGAAGGAAAGATGAACCAACATTTACAACACAAGCCTGGGACACATGACATCCAAGCTTTGCTTCTGCATGACCCCAAATGGTCTTTCAGAGCTGCTGGGCTCCCTGCTCTGGAAACTGGGTGGCCAGCAAGCCACACATGCTGAGCTGGGACACCCTCACACTACTCTGAATGCTCATCACATTGTGGCCTCTGATTTCTGCTGGTTCTCGAGGTGACTGGACATCTTGGTGAAGGTCCTGCCCCAAACAATCATGCTAAGGAAAAGCCCAGGCACCTTCTCACCTTCTTAAATGGATACATGGCCACTTCCAGCTTCTGGGCTGCCTCTTCCCAGGGAATTTCCTGCTGCCAGGTTATCTCTTCAAACACAAACTGAATGGGTTCCCCTGAGGGATCCCTGCTGTCAATCACATTCCCGTTTTCATCATGGATCACAGAGGGGATCGAAGGCCCTGTCGATTCCAACTCCATCTGCAGGAGAACAGACCAGGTTGGAATATTGCAGACATCCCACTCCTGGTTTTTCTGTACTCCAGGACAGGGTAAAGATGCAATGTAAGATTGTGCAGCTTCTAATGAAGATACAGCTTGATTGTCTCCTGGAGCTGCACTTTACCAGCTGCAGATGCGTTTTATTGGGGAATAGCAGGAAAGCAACTTCACTTCACTGACTGCCTGACTGTGCTCATTAGATTGGAGATGCACAAGCCCAGTTCACTCCATGTTTCCACCTTTCCAGTGCAGATTTTTGACTGTGGGACCCCAGATCCTTAAAATCACTGGGATGTGCAGAGCTAGTTTGAAGCTCTTGCTCATCCCACCAGCACAGCCCTTACACAGCCCGTGGGCAGCCACAAGAGGGTGCAACAGGGAAAGCTGAAATGATTCTCTAAGTCTCTTTCCTGACTTCAGGCAATTAAAAAGAAACACGGATCTAGTTTAGGAGAGAATGGGACTGTTAAATTCAGGCATTCAAAATTCTGACTGATGTGTCCTGTCCCAAGAGCTGGGATTACCACAGACTAGGGGAATAACCTCATGCAGTTTCTAAATTCAGACACACTGTTGTTCATACTCCCTGCCAGGCTCAGCTCCTAATCTTCCCCACTGCCTGTCAGACAACTTTTTAAATATGGAAGAAGTCACATAACCCTGGGACCTTAGGATTTAACTCACACAGAGGGGAGAAAATACAATATTACAAGAACTGGCAAGAGGGAGGCACACAGCTGCAGAGGACACGCAGAGATCAAGAGAGCTTATATTGTTATATTGAAATGTTCAAGAGAAATCCCTAAAGAAGAGGGATAACAGAGGTTATGCAGCTTAGGGGCATGGCAGCACAAATCCTGCTGAGATCCTGCACGCACACAGAGGACTGAGAGGGACTCCAGACCTGAGGCAGGTAACCAATGTCCACTTCCATGTTGCTGCTTTCACTCGCCCCGTACAGCCACTCCATGTCCACGTTCAGGGATCTGAAAGGTGAATCCAGAACGTTCAGAGTCTGAACAAATGAGGACATCCAGTGCTTCCCTTGCAGGGCCAACACTGAAGCCCAGAGCCTCTGGCTTCTTGGAGATCACCACGTTCCCTGCACCAAACCAGCAGCACTAGATCCCTGCTGGATCAGGACCCAGGCACCCACCCAACATCTTGGGCAAATGAGCTCACACCTTTGAGCACTGTCACAGTGAGGAAGGGAGAGGTGTCTTTGCTCCCCCTTCCTTCCCAGCACTTAACTTGCACATTCTGATCCTGCTGAACTTTTAAAAATGTTTTTTGGAAGCAAGAGGTAAGGAGCTGCTGGCAGAGCTCTAAGTGTCTGCTTGCTCTAACAAATGTGCTGACAGAGCCATAGGGACTGAGTCGCCAGGGTAATGTTATAATGGCATTTTCACTCCAGCCTTTGCGGGCAAAGAGATTTGAAGCTGCTTTCCCTTAAAATGCTTCCAGCTGCCTGCCAGAAAACAGGAATGAGCTAGTGTGAAGCTACACACACAAAACCTGTGAAGCACCAAGCAAAAAGCAGGTTGAAGAAAGATCATCAGGCTTTGCTGAACTTCACTGCCCTGACCCAAGCATCCGGATTGCCAGGGGCTGCCCCTCCACACCCTGCCTATCCCTCCCCACCCTCTAAGTACCAAGGAACAGTTACTGGTGAGTTAATCCCACTCTGAAATGGGTCAGGGATCCTAAGTGACTAGTAGAGATGCATTTGCCAGTTTTATAGGCAACTGCAGCACTCAATTCACTCGGGGTCTTGGCTGAAAAGCATGAGCCAGGTTGTGCAGGGACATCCCTCCCCAGCTCTGTGTCCCCAGCAACCTCTGCCTTGCCCCTCCACTGTCCCTCCTCTGCCCTTGTCCTCTCCTGCCTCTTCCAAGCCAGATGTTCCCCCCCCCCGCCCCCAGACCTGTTGATAATCAGATGTTCCTGAAAAATTGCATCAGAACCAGATCAGGGAGCAACTGTGTCTGGAGAATTGAGGACAGGATGACTGTGGTGACCTCTGGCAGGGAAGGATGTGTGGGGAGAGCAGAGAAGCAAAGAGCAGAACCAGCCTTTCCAAAGCTCAGACTGCAGACCTGCCTTCCCTGCACAGACCAGGATGCCCACATACCACAAGGGACAGGGCTGGCACTGCACTCTTCCTATAAAAAGATCCCACCAGTCTCCATGGATCCCAGTTCTGCCTAGGACAGGATCCTAGAGCCCCTGGGTTCCACTGACAACAACCCCCAAGTCTGTTCAGCAGCTGGGAAGAGAGAGAAAAAACTGTACCTGTTGTTAGGGACATAGAGCTTAAACTCTCGGACATGGGAAGAGTCCTTGGAGAGGATGATGTGACCTGTGAACTGGCCTGGGGAAAACCAGAAGGGAAAGTCTGGTGGCTCATTCAGCTGGAACTCAGCATGGATCCTGAAATGAGAAAGGAAAAATCAGCTGCAGTGCTGGGAGGAAAGAATGGATCATGCATGCAGATAACAGCAGGGAGAAGTTATCTCCAGGCACCAGAAATTATGAAGCTAAATTGGGGCAGAGAGGATCAGTTCAAAAAGCTTTTCACGTCATGCAAAGGAGAGGGTAAAGACTGGAGCAGATCCCCTGGGTTAGGATCATCTCCATTATTGATGCCTTCCCACCCAAATCAGTCCGTGATTCTATGAAGAGCCCCCAAGCCCTTCCCCAGCACCCTGACCCCATGGCCTTACCTGAAGGCTATGGTGTAGTAGAAGGTGCTGATGGCTTGGATGCAGGCCACAGCTCCCTGGGGAGCAAAGCGTGTCCTGACAAAGGGGCGTGGGTGGAACATGCTCAGAAGCTTGTGGATTATGATCTAGGGCAAGAATTGCAAAAAGAGCCAAAAATGAGAACCCTGCAGATCAGCTGCAGCTCCAAAGTAATTCCCCACCCGACCAAAATGGCAAGAGAACTGCTGTGACTTAAAAATTAGCTCAGAGACCTACTTAATCACAACACAAGGAGATAAAGCAAAAGGCAGCTTTTGAAAATAAATCCACCTTAGATGGTTTTTCTGCTATTCCCACTGTTTGCAAGTTTCCATCATCCCAGTGGGCTGAATGTCCTAGTACAGGGTAGTGACCTGTGAGGCTGCCTCCATCAATACCACTGAAGACTGGAAAGAGGGGGTGTGCAATCAATAACCACACCAGGCTGTGAAGATGTATCAGCTCTGTGATCACCAACACCTGCCCACACCCCCAGAGGGGCAGACACGTCTGGCCTTACAAACCAATGTATTTTTTTTTCTCTTGTCAATGACATGCTCACCTCTGGGGTGGCACTTGGCAACTGTTCCACAAGGCACAATCACTTCATACAAGTGATTCCTGAATAACCCTCTCCCCCCCTTCTTGGCCTGGCAAGACTAGCCTAAAAATGAAAACAGAAGCAAGATGAATACTCAAGTCAGTCTCATCTGGCCATGACAAACACTCTGAGCTCTGTTTTACCTCCAATTTAGAAGGCTCTGCTCCTGGCTGTATGCTGCATTATTGCTCCCTTAGAAAGTCCAGGGAGAGATAATGCAACAGCCTTGTCTGCTCCAGGGACTCCTTCAATTCATCTGGCCTGTAAGGCAGAACACTCACACAAACTACCTCTAAGTTATATAGAAACTGAGTTCCGTATCTCACCTCTTTGCCCTTCGGAGGTGGAGGATAAAATCTGTTGTTGGAAAGATACCCAGTGAAGATGTTCAATTCACTAGGAATTATCCACCACGGATCCCCAAGATCCAGTTTATTCTTTGGAGGAAGAAAGGCTTTAAACTGCCTGGCAAGCATCACACTCTTAGGGGTTGCAGGGGCAGTCCAGTTCCTCAGCCCAGCCAGAGCAACATGAGAAATCTGTGAACAGAAGATACTATCAGAGCCTAGACTGGACTCTTCACAAGTGCAGTAGAGCTGATGGATGTGAGTAGGATTTGGAGGAGGGGAAAAAAAATCCACCACATTTTAAATTCCTCCTACCACCCCAAACACCACCAAATAGTTCTGTCAACTTTCAGTTATGTGAGAAATGGGAAATGGGAGAGAGAGGAACATGCCACATCACACTGCTGTTTTGGATTTAGCTGCAGAAAAGCCATCCCTAATGTCGCTTCAGGCTTCCAAGGAAGGGTGTGTTAATTGGGGCACAGAGCTGCTGAGTGCCCTGGAAACAATGAAACACTGCAGAAAGCAGCAAGCTGGCTCATCAGAGCAACTCCCAGGGGCTGGAGTAAGATCACCTCCCACTCCTGATGCACTAGCACTTCTTCCTGGTGATGTTACCAGCCCACAGGATGTGTTTATATCAGAACTTCTGGCCACACACATCCTGCATGATACCTACTCCCAAGAAACCATCTTTGCTCTTCGTCATTGTTTCCATGACCAAAGGCTGGAATTGAGCCACAATGGACAAGGTCTCCCCACTCGGATCAGGCGTCTCCTCCTCTTCAAACTCTGAGATGGGAGCAACCCCTAAACAAAGGGACAGGAATTTTAACAGCTGTTTCCCTTCTCTCCCCTTTGAAGCAACTGTGAAGTGATTACACATTTATCCTGGCAAATCCAGGAGCACTGGGAGCTTCCCAGCTGTCCCTACTCTGCAGAACTTAAGACCCACCTCTGAGATGAATTGAAGAGGAGCACTCCTGTTAGTGGACAACTCTCTAAGCCCCATGGCTCAGTGGAGCAGTCTCATGTCACCTCAGAGGGATCACAACACCCACTGTAGTCAATTCATTACAGCACAAGCAAAAAACTGTCTGTATTTCAACTGCACTGTAAGCTCTCCTGCATATCACACCACCACGTTTCTTCCTGCTTGGCTCCACCAGGAGACATTTGTCACAGGCTGATATGGTCTCCAAACATCATCTCTCACAATTCCTATTTCAGAGAGGCTGCTACAGCCAGAGGAGTGTGTGAATGAAATGCTGTGAGTTATTAACAGTTTTGGCCTAGCCTGGGATGAGCTGTATTTGTTGCATTCACCCATCCCAAATCCCCTTTAAGCTTTAGACAAAGTAACTTATGTACTTTGCTAGTCCAGCAATGGGATCTTCTGTCTTCTAAAAACTACTTTGTCAGATTCATGTCTATTGCTTAGGCCTTTTAAAAAATAGATAAAGCTTAGCAGCCTCTCTTCATGTAAATAAAACCCAAACCAGCACCCAGAAAAAAAAGAAAGACATGAATAAAAATTGTGGAGTGTATCATCTTTGGCTTGTGCTTGGTCTGTGCAGAGAGCTCTGCAGGCAGACAGATACCAACCTGTCAGCTTCTCAGCTATTGGCTTGAACTCCTCTGGACTGAGGTATAGATCGTTGTTTGTGTCCAGAGAAGAGAAGAGGAACAGCCCCTCACTTCCCAAAGACTTCAGAGCCAGCTCCTAGGTCAGGAAGAAAAGGCAAAGTGAGATTTCATTCCAACCTCCTGCAGAAATTCACTCCAGCCCCTCGCTCAGCTTTGGAGTTAATTTGCATTCTTTCCAGCACACAAACACAGCCATCAAATCGAAAGATTAACCACCACTTGGCAGGATTTGGTGCTATTTACCATAGGGATGGGAGTCCAGGAACTGTTGGCATGAGAATATTAAAACTACATCTGGCTAAGTAATTAAAACAGAATCATTTGCTCAGAGTTGGCCTCACAGTCTTTTGTCAGGAAATGTTTCCCACTTTTTTCCAGATAGTTGGTCCTAAACCTGCATATATTCAGAGCACCTGGAGATGGTGATTTCTGTAGTTAAGTGATGTGCAGTGAAACAGAGGCAGTCAGACACTGCCCACAGCACAAAAACACAAAGGAAACGAACCAAGACCTTGTAACTCTGCAGAAAGCAACTTAACTGATGCCCATGCTAAGATCCACGCCAGCATTACTGCACACAACCACCCTGCTCTCCTCAGGTTCCCCTCCAGGTCTCCAGCCTCAGGGCTGGATAGAACATTTTGGCCCCCTGTTCCACAGGGAGCACTGCCTACCCATTCAGCCACACACCGGGGAGCCACAAATCCCAGAGTTTTCTTCAAAAACTTCTGCAAGATTCCAGCCACCCTGTGCCTCAGTTTCTCCCTCTGTGCTTCAGTTTCTCCCTTTATGCCTCAGTTTCTCCCTCTGCAAAGCCCACATGGAGATCATCCAGTGGAAAACCCCACTCAAACACAACATATCCCTTGGAGCAGCCCCAGAAAGGCTCCAGATGCTTCGAGTCATTTCCACTCAGCCCTGAAGGGAAGGGGATGACTTGTGGGCAGAACAAGAGAGCTCCACATTGGTATGAGAGGAAGGGAGAGACATTCAAGAAGTCAGAGAAGCCCCAGCCCTGCTAGCCAGGCTGCAGCACATCCCCTGTGACCCACATCTTGGGGCAGCTTCCCCTGCCGCCCCCATAAAAGCCTAAAGCTGCAAGGATAAATACTCTGTATTCTGCTGTTTAGCTGTGTTAATTCTCTGTTGCCTGCAGCACCATTACCATCCCCAGAGCTCCCAAACTAGTTTATTTTCCATCTGTTGCCTGCCAGCCTGAAGCAGCACTAATGCAGCCTGGAAGGCTTTGCTCCTGTCAACTGCAGCAACAAAAGCACTTAAGAGCCTTCCAGGGCAGTTTCAGGACTGAAACAGAGAGAAATAAAGGCCCTGGAATACAACCAGAGGTCTGGACACAAACATGGCTGAGGAAGGAGAAGGCAGGGAGTGCTTCAGCTGAAGACAGGAATGGAGGAGGAACAAGATGATTGTGTATCTGCACACAGGAACAATCCACATGCCTGGGGTAAAAACTGTGCCTTTGTCCCCCAGATGAATGGGGATGCACATCCTTGGCCCTATTAAGAGATAACAGCATCTTCCTGAGCAACTGCCCTGTTCCCTGGCAGTCAGGTGCCAGGGTCATGTCATGAAGTTTTGGGCCAGGCTTCAGTCCCCCTCTCAGCTCTGGATCTTGCTTGTGCTGGGCACATAATGCATTAACCTGGTAAGGGGTTAACTGTTCACTGAGGATCACTCACTGTCTGGGAGCTGGGGTGCAGGGAAGTGTTCTGGGAGCAGAGGCTGTCCTGGATGTGTACTGAGCTCTGAAGGGTTGGTCCATTTCCTAGTTCTCTCCACAGCACATCAGTGATTCCCTGCTGATGAATCTTTTTGAATCCCTCTTATTTTTGCACTTCACAGACACAGACCTCAAGGGATGGGAGCCAAATGAGCAGCTAAGTTTTTAGTTGGTTAGACTGCCTGCTGCTGCGTTAGGAAAAAGCCATGATCATTTAACAGGGCTGGAGGTAGAAAGAGAACCAGTTATACCCTATGCATGCAGAAGACTGGGTCTAAGACAGCAGAATGTGAAGGGGGTGATACAAGTGTCTGGTGTTGGATGTTAGCAACCAAACATCAATGTAGAACATGAAGGGGGGAGACAGATGTGCCTGCTGTTGGGTGCTAGTACCCAAAAATCGGTGTAGAACGTGAAGGGGGGGATACATGTGCCTGGTGTTGGATGTCAGCATCCAAAAATCAGCATACAGACAAAAACTGAGAGCATGCTTCCACCCCTACAGCCTGCACTTCTACACAGGCTAAGCAATAGGAAACCATCAGCTGCAAGACCATCAGAGAAGGATTCCCACACCTCACACACGTGTGCCAGCAGTCAGCTGAACTCCACCTCCCTGCTAACTGGATTGGTACCAAGCTCCTACCTGTTCCAGAAGACGCCTCCTGCTCCTGCCTGCTTCGTGTGCTGCTGCCCTCCCAGAGCTGCTTCTATCTTTGCTCTCCCAGCAAAGCTTTAATGCTCCAGGCAGCAAGGGCCCAGCACATCAGTTCTGCAAAGCCCTGCAGGACTGATCTCTCCCTTTGCCAACATTCCTCTCTCTGCTCCCCAGGCTGGGCAGCAGTGCCAGCCCCTCCACACCCACCCAGCCAGGGACAACACCCCAAACAAAGAGGAACAAAGACATCAGTCCTGCAGTAACTGGTCAAAAGGGATGCAAAAAATTATGTTGAAAAGCAGCAAGAGGTATCAGGGCTTGGCCTTTTGGTTTCTTATAACACATTGAAGGAAGCTCCTCACAGCCTGTGGGGTTTTTATTTTTTTTTTCTTTCTAATCTGAGTTTAAAAGAAACAAAAAAGTTTCCCTGTTTGTGCCAGAGGAGTAAGATTGAGCTTTGTCAATCTTTTTGAAGAGAAGCAAAGCTGTGGTTTTCACAAAGAGTTTTCTTCTCCCACCTGACTGTGGGTTGATTAGCGAAATAAACACTTCCAGAGAAGTATGTATGAAAGTATGTGTAAGAGGTATGTTTTAAGCCAGAAGAAGAAAAAATAAAAACCTTGTGCTGTTCAAATTTGCTCTCCAGCAGTGCCCAGTCACAGCCTGTCCTCTGGGACAAACAAAACCTCCAGGAGACCTGGTTTTGTGTCAGGCAGGGCTGAGGTACTCAGCCTGTGAAGGACTATCCTGACCCTTCTGTCCTTCTCAAAAGATTCTTCTAATTAACTGGGTTGAGTAATTTTCCCGTTTTTTGCAATGCAAGAGACAAAGCAAAGAGCTGTCCTTTGAAAAACACTTGTCTTTTTACTACAGAAAGATCAAGAGAAGAATAGCCAGGGGTAATATGACCTTTAACAAAGGCCTGATCCCTCCAAAGCAGGAGGCAGCCATTGGTATGATATGGATTACAATCAAAACCAATGTCAATCAGCCTAATAAAAAAAACCCCCAACACCCACAAAACCCCTCAAAAATCCTCCCCATTTTTCAGCTCACATCCTCCATAATTTTCCTGTTTCTACAGTCAGGGCAGATCTACACAAGAGCTGCATTTCTAGTACCAGAACCCACCACAGCTCTGTAGTTGTTTCAGCCCTTTGCTGGCCACCAGGATCCCTGTGGCCACCAGGATCCCTGTGGCCACCACAGCACTGCAAGACCTCAGCCTGGCAGTGGCCACCTCAAGCCTGGATCCACTGTTGTGTGGCAAGCACCACATCCCAAGGGTCCCCTCAGCCTGGTGGTGACTACCACAGCTTGACATTGGCCACCTGAGGCTCCATGACAACTGGTGTCTGGTGATCCCTACAGTCTGGATAGAGCTGGCTGCCGGAGTTCTGTGGTCCCCACAGCCTGGTGGTGGCCTCTTCAAGCTCAGCAGTAGCTGATACTTGGCTTTCCCCACGGCCTGGCAGTGGCTGCCAAGGCTTGTTGGTCACCACAGCCCAGCGGTGGCCACCTCAAGACTGCAGCCACCAACGTCCCGTGGCCACCACAGCCCAGTGGCCACCACCACAATCCAGTGGCCGCCACCACAACCCAGTGGCTGCCACCACAGCCCAGTGGCCACCACCACAATCCAGTGGCCGCCACCACAACCCAGTGGCTGCCACCACAGCCCAGTGGCCACCACCACAATCCAGTGGCCGCCACCACAACCCAGTGGCTGCCACCACAGCCCAGTGGCCACCACCACAATCCAGTGGCCGCCACCACAACCCAGTGGCTGCCACCACAGCCCAGTGGCCACCACCACAATCCAGTGGCCGCCACCACAACCCAGTGGCTGGCACCACAGCCCAGTGGCCCTCTCAGCCTCAGGATGGCCACCTCAACCCAGTAGCCACCCATGTCTGTCCATCACCTCAGCCCCACGGCCTTCTCAACCCCAGCGGCCATCAATGCCTGGTGGGTACCTCGACCCCAGCGGCCACCTCAACCCCGCTAGCCACCGCTGCCTGCCGGTCCCCTCAGCCCGGAGCAGCCACCCTCACCTTGCACCGGCCCTCAGAGCGGCGCCGACGCCTCCGCCCGCCATTTCATCCCTCCCCTCAGCGCGGGGCCTCAGGGCTGACCCCTCCTTCCTTCTCCCCCCCCCGCCACCTCTCGCCCCTTCCCCCTTTTTACCTGCTGCCGGGCCACTTCAGCGTCCCGATAATATTTCACGGCGACTAAAGCCGCTAGAGCGGCGAGGGCCCAAGCCAGGCGCGGGGGGCCGCGCCGGGACCCGCCATCGCCCCGCGCTCCTTCAGCGCTGCCGCCGCTTCGCCGCCATGGCCGGGGGAGGAGGGGCCGGGGCCGGGCTGGAGCCGGAGTCCTTCCCCCCCGGGGGCCGGAGAGGGGAGAAGAGGAGCCGGGGGAGCGGGAAGAGGAGCCGGGGAAGCGGGAAGAGGAGCCGGAGAAGGGGGGAGAAGGGTCGGACGGGGCCCCCCATCAGGCCCCTCTCCCCCTTCTCCGGCCCCCGCCGTGACTCCCGCGCAGTCGGGATTAAAACCCGCTATATGGTTTCATTTCACCAAAACACCCATTTCCCCCCCCCAAATCGGCTCTGAGTGGCTTTACTCGCAGTGATTTCCCTGAGGTTTAAGCCCCCGGGATGGCAGGGTGAGAGCCACGGGGCCCACCCGAGCCACCACCCCATGCCCAGCTCCTGAGGCGTCTCTCCTGTCACCCCACGTTTCTCAGTCGTTTTTACCACTCTTCCCCAACTTTTCCACCCTCCCTGTGCCCTTCAGGTTCCACACGGTTGTTCCGTTGCTCCTCCACCAGTGGCTTGGCCAAGAGATGTATATTTAGTCATTTTAATCTTTCCTCATAAATCAGTCTCCTGCTCTGCCGCCGAAATCCCCTGATTGCTGGGGAAGATTTAGTACCATTTTCTGCTGCTGCAGGGCTAACCGAGCAGGATGTTTGATCTCTCTAAGGGTAGTAGGAAGCGTTAGCATTTAATCCTTTGAAGCTTTCGCTGCTTCCTAAGCCTGCCTAATCATTTTTTGTTTTAGGTTTAAAGAGCGTTTTGGTTGGAGATGAGGAGAGCATGACCAAGCCACTAAGAGAGCAGCAGCAGCTGCATCAAGGGAGGAGGAAGAGGCTGGTAATCCTGGGCAGAGCAGGCCAGGAGTGTGTAGTTTTCAGCAATTCCTGGGAAAAGACCAAAAAAAAACACCCCAAAAATCACACCGTGCATTTTCTTGCAGACCAACAGCCCTTGATGCTTCTCTTGCAGTCGTGGTGCCAGCCTGGGCAACACAATGGATCAGCAGCAGAAGAAACAATGGCTTGTTTGTAGCTCAGATCAGTGTCCTTACATCTGCATGGCCAAGGGAGGAAGGAGAAGGTTCCTTCTGCCAGGTCCACCACAGAAGAAAATGTTAATCAAACTCTTTGTTCTCCACCTCCCCATCCGGTGCTTGGGCCATGGGGAGGAGATGGGAGGAACGGAATTAACGAAGCATGGAAATTATGTCTAGGTGCAGAGACAGTTGTGAATGAGTTAAGCACTCCGACACTTTGAGCAGATGTGCTTTAAAACTTCCTGGACTCATTAGGTTGGGCAGTGAGATGTGGAGAGCTGCTGCTTACCTCAAATAACCTACCGAGTACCTTTAGAGCCACAAAATGTAACAAAACAAGATGGCTTTGGAACAGGATAAATGCACTTGGGTGTTTGGGAAATGAGCAAGCACAAGAGGTGATAGGAGATGACAAAGCCTGCAGACACCCAGATGGAGAAGGAGACTTGACAGGGTGGCTGGCAGAGCCAGAATTATACCATTTAGAGGAGAAGCAGAAGGATTCATTTTACACCTAAACCGTTTCCAGTGTCACCAGCAATCACATAACGATGACAAACGGATGAATTATTTGATAGGAAAAAGAACGAAAGACAAAAGGTGAAATAATTCAGGGCATCTGCTGATAACTAATCCTCCACAAAGGAGAACAAAACCAACAACTCCTGGTTCTACACGGCTGGTTCTTGAGATTACAGATTCCAGTGCTCAGGAAGAATTTTAAATACCCTGACATCTGCTGTGTGGCCCACCCAGGCACACTCGTATCAAAGGAAATCCTCCTGACAACAAGGAAGATTTCCACCAGGAAACTCACCCAGCAGGAAAAATTATCCCAAATTTCCCATTTGCCAGAAGGGAGAGAGTCCAGCTGAAAATGAGAAAAATTGTGAAAAATTGGTAGCAGGGACAAAAAGGTCAGAGCAACTTTTTCTGCAGGAAAGGGATGAGTTTTCCATACGCCAGAGAACAGGCAGTAACTTCAAGTTCCAGGGCAGCACGTTGAGAGCAGAGAAACCCTGTCCTGGTTTAAATTGATGGCCCCATTCCCACAGCCTATAACCCTGGCCTGTTTCAAAGCCAAAGGGATCACAGTGGAATGGAAAGCAGCACTAAAATCTGAGCTCTGTGCACAAATGGAGAAAGCACCTGGAAACTGAAACCCCTCTGAGGCAGCAAGTCCCGACCAAAAACATGAATCCTTTGGAAAACAGATCATGGAGGAACCAAGCCTGGTTTCACAGGGGGCTTTTCAAAGGGGACAAGAAAACTGGAGGTGTTTGCATCCTGCTCTGGGGATGGGCTGTGACAAAGCTTTGCAGCCATGGAAAACACAGTTCATCCTGGAAAAGGAATGGCCAGCAAAGGCTATGGAGTGAAATGACATTTGACTGTGACATTTCTAAGTGGATCATGTAGTTGAAGAGCAGGAGCCAATGCCTACTGAACCCCTACAGGCTTCCCAACTCCCTCTTGGCCCTTCCTCTTCAGTAGGAAGCAATCCAACCTGGTGGGTCACTTCCAGTTCTGACACTCACTGAACAAAAGCCTTTACAAGGCAGGGGTGGTTTATTGAGAGGATTCCTAATCACAGCACAGTACCCGGTTGAGGCTCCACAGGGAATGAAACCAAAGACTCAAATATGATCAGAAGTAACTGCTGAAACTTTGAAGCTGCTCACACTGGGAGCCAGAGCTCGATTCTGAAACAATTAGATTAATAGATCAGATCAAAATGTCTGTGGAAAAATACTGCTTCTGCCAGGCTTTTGAATCCAATAACTAATTCTGCTGAAAGCCTTCCAAGGGAGCTGAATGAGGTTGTAAAAAATTAAGTGTGGGTTACAAAAAAGATGTGTTTTGTTTTCTGGATAGTTTTGTCTTCTCTGGCTTCAGCCATTCCACAAGTGATAGGTATTAGTTTTCATCTCTACAACTAATGCAACTTTCTTTTATCCTAATTTCACTTACAGGATATTCCTTCTGATGTAAACAGGACCACAGGTTCTGATGGTGAAATTTAACATGGTAATCATGGCTCCTGAACTGGAATGTAACGGGAAATGGGAAATAGCCTAGGCTGATCACACCTCCTTCTAAGGTGGCTCAGAAATAGAAACAACCCACCATAAACCAAGAACAGAATTCCCACTGGTGTCCCACATGCTTGACACTGAAAGGCAGGAAGGCAACTCCAAGACACACACCTTCCCAGATCCTTTCCATTGGACATTTAAAACCAAACCTCTGGTTCAAATATAACATCCAATGTATTTATCTACTTAAAAGTCTAAAAACAAAGGGGTTCCCACCTGGACAAACAGAAGTTCCACCACCACCTGTTCCCTGCATTGCTGTAGGACAGAAGAATCCCAGTCATGGATCAGGGCCAGGCCTTGGAATAACAGCTGATCCTTGGAACAAATCTGTACTCCTGCTAAACACATACCTGCTTAACTTGGTGCCTATGATTAACCCACTGGCTTCAGGGATTCCATGTGGGTACCTGTGAGCACAGAGAAGTGTTTGCAGAAGTGTGGTCTACAGGGATGGAAACTTTCAAGCATGGTTGTTGGCAACAAAAAGTTGTCCCCATGCCTGGTACAGAGCTCCACATCAGTGTCTTGGCAAGTAAACTTACCACTAAGCTTCACCCTGTCAGGCATGTGGGGCAACTGAACAGCTCCCTGGTTGTGCTGCAGCCAAGGAAGGGCAGGAAAGCAGCAGCTCCTCTCTGGAAGGGCATCTGCCTTTACTAAGATCATCTTGCTCACTTGTGTGGAAGAAGAAACAAGAGGTGAGTTTTACTGTAATACCAGGGATCTATTTTCAAAGGAAACTAGAACTGTGCTGTTTATCCAAGGGCTTTACATTTTGCCAAGCAGAGTGTTTTGTGTTACTCCAAAAGCACATTTTTATTTATGGAATTCCCTTAATCCATGATAAAAAAACCTCCAAGCTAAGCCAGCTTCCTGGTACCCAAAGCTCTTGGGATAATACAACTCAGTCCCAAGATGTTTATTTACCAATAACCATTCCTCTAGGCCAGGCTTACCAGTCAGTATCTTCATCCTCAGGATGATGCTAAGTCCTCAGCTGACACCTTCATTTCTCTTGAGGAATAACAGAGGCATGAATTTAGAAACACATCTTCTGTTTTCACAACTTGCTCAAAGCAACTCTCTCTTCCCCAAGCTGCTCACTGAACCAATTATCAGGAGAATGTCACAAGAATGACCAGAACATCCCATCCCCAAGGGCCACAGCTTTGCAGTGACCAGAGGCAAAGCTGCTGGGAGGAAGGATGAGGATCCCAGATCCAGCCCTTCTTGCAAGAACTGCTGAGCAGGTACTCACGAGTGCCAGGGTGAGACCAGGAATGGTGTGTGAACATCTCTGCAGCCTCATCCCAAGCTGCCAGTTCAGTGGCTGGATGCAGGGAAGGACGTGGCTTCAATTTTTGTCCCTTTTCTTCTGTTACTTCATTCCAGCAATGATGTATTTACCAAAGAGCAAACCTGGCTGGAGATTATTTTTTGCTAGAAAAATAAAGACATTTAGGAGAACTCCTCCTAACCCCTATCAGATGATGAATAAACCATTGAAGGGAGCTCATGCAGATGGGAACTGCTGTCCAGACTCTGGAAATCAACACCTATTGTGAAATACTCTTCAAATCAACCAGCATTGTCACCTATTTATTGCATGTGTGATGTAACAGGTCTTTGACAGATGGCTTTAAAAAGGATCAACCCAAACATGCTTTTTTATTTTACAAGACTTTTATTCTGTTTCACAGATTTGACTATTGCAGCAGTGAAATCATTACAAGTGACTCATAACATTTAGTTCCAAATAAAAGTAGAAAAACACAAAAAAGATTGAGGGAAGTTAAACACGATGTGAAGTGTGGCAAATCTGTTTTAAGAGCAGAGAAAAAGTATATAAAAATACATTAGGATCAAGAATTTTGCAGACAGGTCTTGATTTAGTTACAATTTTGACACCACAATCACAGAATCACAGAATGGTGGAGGCTGGCAGGGACCTCTGGAGGTTCAACCTCCAACCCTGCTCAAGCAGGGCCACCCAGAGCCACTTGTCCAGGACAGTGTCCAGATGGCTCTTCAGTATCTCCAAGGATGGAGACTCCACAGCATCCCTGGGCAACCTGTGCCACAGCTTGGTCACCCTCAGAGTAAAAAAGTGTTTCCTCATGTTCAGAGGGACCCTCCTGTGTTTCAGGTTGTATCTCTGGTACCATCACTGGGCACCACTGAGAAAAGTCTGGCTCTGTCCTCTTTGCACCCTCCCTTCAGGTATTTATATACATTGGTAAGATCCCCCTGAGCCTCCTCTTCTCTAGGCCAAGTAGCCCCAGCCTTTCCTCAGAGGAGAGATGTTCCAGTTCCTTCATGATCTTCACAGCCCTTTGTTGGACTCTCTCCATTATGTCCATGTCTCTCTTGTGCTGTTGAGCCTGGAACTGGACACAGCACAACAGGGGTGGCCTCCCTAGTGCTGAGCAGAGGGGAAGGATCCTCCCTCACCCTGTCTAAAGCAGCCCAGGAGACACCAGCCTTCTCTGCAGCAAAGGCACATTGATGGCTTGTGGTCAATTTGGTGTCTACAGGACCCCTAGATCCTTTTCTACCAAGCTGCTGCCCAGCTAGGTGCCGCAGCACACACTGGTCCCCTCCCAGGTGCAGGACTTTGCTTGTTGACTTCACTAGATTCTTTTCAGCCCATTTCTCCAGCCTGTTGAGGTCCCTCTGGATGTCAGCATGACCCTCTGGTGTATCAGCCACCCCTCCTGGTTTTGTGTCAGCAGCAAACTGTGCCCCACCATCCAGGTCATTCATGTTCTCTGTTCATCCACACAGGCCTCCTGGCTTTTTGCCTGACTTCCTGCACATTGGAATGGAACTCTCTTGAGCTTGGAGGACATGATTCTTGAATATTAATTTGCTTTCTCAAACCCCTCCTTCTTCCAGGGTCTTATGCCATGGGACTTTTCTAAGCAGATCTTTTAAGAGTCTGTCCTGGTTTGAGTCTGCTGACCTCAAGTCCAGGGTTATGAGTTTGCTTTTCACCCTCCTTCCTTCCCTCAGGATCCTGAAGTCCACCATCCATCTCATGGTCACTGCAGCCAAAGCTGCCTTTGATCTTCACATCCCCAAGGAGCCCCATGAAGACCAGGGCCTGCAAATTCAAACCTCAGGCTGCTTGTATCTGTCTGTAGAGCCTGGTCTACTTGTTCTTCCTGCTCAGGTGGCCTGTAGCAGACACCCACAACACTGTCACCTTTACCTGTCCTCTATTCAATCCTCTCAGTCAGCTCCTTGTCAATCCCCAGCCAAACCTCCATGCACTCCAGCTGCTCTCCCACACAAAGGACAACTCTCCTTCCTTGTTCTCCTAGCCTGTCCTTCCTAAGGAGCCTAGAAATCCTACCACCTAGAAAGCACAGTCTATTGAAAACTGTTAATTAGAAGGTGACAAATCCAAGAGCATTTAAAAGGCAAAAATGAAACAGAAACACGAAGGGGGGTGAGTGTGTGTGAAGTCTATTTCATGGCAAACTTCCAGTCCTTTGGCCACTATAAAGCAAAGTCAGTGGATTTCATATAAATTCTCTGTATAAAGGAATGTCTATGAACTGTGTACAATATGGCCCAGAATAAACATCTCATTATCAGGCTAATAAAGCTCCTCACAGAGGAAAAGAAGGTGCTTATGTCATGGTTTCATCTCTCCAATATAATACTGTCCGGAATTGGACTAGTGCCCCAAAATATCATTTTAGGAACAAGACAAATTCCTTTAATGGAAAGGAAATGCAGTAACCCATGGAGGCTGCAGGAGCAGGGTGCTGGGCAACAGCCTCACTACTGCACACTTCCTTTAAAGTTCGTGTGGTTGATTGGCAGGGGATGAGCCTCAGTGTTGAACACCCAGTCGTCCAGGGACAGCACGTCATCTTCACAGAACAGAAGATAGAGGTACCTGGAGCCACCAGGCAAGGGTGGGTGGGAAGAAGACGGGACACAAAGGGAGATTAAAGGAAACTCGAGTGGGACTCCAAGCATGCACAAGCAAGGCTGGTCAGCAGGAGTGTGACATGGGCTGCCACTGGCCTCAGCTGCCAGGGTTGGTGGTGACATGCTACTTGGCTGCCTGCCTGACTCTCCTGCTGGCAACTCTCACCTCTGGTGCAAAGTGGCAAAATGGGGTGGGCACCTGTGCTCAGCCACCCCTCAAACATTAGTTCCCAATACCAGCAAAGGCAGATCTGCACCAAGGGGGCAAGCAAATGCAGGCCATGGTTGTGCCTCCTCTGTGTGCAGGACATCAACCTGACGGTGTCTCTTAAACTGTCAGGGCTAAACTCCAGGGAGCTCAGCACTCAGAGCCTCCCCCTCAGAGCAGCTCTAGCTCACAGAAAGAGTCCTTTAAATTCACCACACGAGCAGAAACCTGGAAAGTGCCAATGAGAGCAGTGGTTCTACAGGAGGAAACTACCCCATAGCCTTGCCTGGTTCCCCCCACAGAGGATAAGACCTCCTCATTATTAGAGACTTATCAAGCAGCCAGGAGTGCTGATGCTCCAGCAATGATGCTACTCTGAAAGGCCTCTGTGCTACTGGACTTACTTCAGAGTCTCTGCGAGGAAAAAACTCTGTTGCATGTTGTCATGGGTTGGGGTTGAGGTGTAAACATCTCGGATGCCAGAAAACCCAGCTTCTACTCTACAGTATTTTTCCAGGGCCTGAGAAAGGAAAAGTAAACCTTAGTAAAACCCAATAGCATTGGACTAACTCATTCATCATCATCAGTTGCATTACAAGTCAGCTTTACAAATCAAATTCCAGGTTTATAGTGCTTTGTGTCTCTCACTGAAGAGCATGGTGATTACTCTGAGAATAAAGCTAATTCTGGTGAGAAACACAAACAGCCTAAGTCAGTTGATTGATTGACCCTGATGCTGCACACACTGCAAAACCAGACCTCAAGTGGCAACTCCAGCTGCTTGCTGAGCCTCTTCCAGGGCAGCAGACAGATGCCAGTTCTGCCAGGGAAACTCAGCATCTGCCAGGATGTGGGGCAGCAGCCAAGAGGCTGTTGTATGAGCCAGAGAGGTGAGGAACTTTCTGCCCAGGAGGTCTTTGTGGGAAGAAGACAAGATGAAGAGCAAAAGCAGGTTTGCTGCTTTTCCCTGGCCAGCCATGAACCAGTGGTTCTGAGCAGTCCAGAGATTTCAAATAGAAGGCAGAGGGGCTTCCTTTTTGCAGAGGGGCTGCTCCAAGAGAAGCAGCTTCTGCTGCCTGCAGCACTCCCCTCCATCAACCTCCACTGTTTTGACTGACTGATTGGAGCACAGGCCAAAATGGAGAGCAAGACATTCACAATGAGCAACAGAGACACCACACTCAGTGGAGCCACTGGTGCCTTTCTGCCCTGCTGCTAATTTGTCTTGGTGTCTAACACCATTTCAACCATGTTTGCTCTTTCCATGGACAGAAGGAAAGACTTCTGTCAGAATCCAGCAGCCTGTAAGAGTGAGCACAGCAAATTTTCCAGCCATACCTCCACAACCTCCCAGCCCCACTGCCTGTACTTGGGGTGGTGTGTCAGCCTCCACATGTACATGTAGCTTTCCACCACCTCAGGTCGTAGGATGTAGTAGCGCTCGCTGAGCCTGGTTGCCATGGCTTCAGTTCCAGCATCAAAGCGAAAGGCTTCGGGGCCCAGTTTGGTATCTAGACAAAACCACACACAGGCAATGATCAAGCAGTTTGAGAAGGAAGCAACTAAACACTCTCCAGGTGCCCCGGGGCTGCTCAGGCTGCCGACATTTAAGTAATTTGACCTCACTGTGTGAGGTCAGATAAGCAGATCACAGACTGGTTTGGGTGGGAAGGGACCTTAAAGATCATCCAGTCCCAACCCCTGCATGGGCAGGGACACCTCCCACCAGCCCAGGTTGCTCCAAGCCCCATCCAACCAGTCATGCTGGTGGATCAGGACAACCTCACAGCTGATGTCAAAAGAGAGGCAACTCCATCAGTGCATGAGGTGTTCCCACTGCTGCTCCAGGAGCGGCACAACCTGCAGCACTTCTGGCTACTCCCTAGGTGAGACTTGGACAAGATCTGAGCGTGGAAAGGGCAGGTAAAAATCTCCCCCCATGTCCTAACACTTTTGCTGGGCTTGTTTGGTTTTGGGGAATTGCACTGCCCTGCCCCTGAGAGCAGAGCTCATAACTGAACACAAACTCAGAACCCAGATGAGAAAGACCAGAGAGGCAGATCCCATTTCTCAACGAGAAAACACATTCCAAGGAATATCTAGCCATGCAGCTGACCCTGCCATCAGAGATACTGACACACTGCTCCCAGGCAGGGGGGTGTTTCACAATTATCAGCCCACCAGACTGAGCCATTTCACCTTCTCTGCAACAGGGAGGCTGTGAGAAGTGGTGCTTGGGACCTGGAATCACTTCTGCCTTTCCTTCTCCCCCACCAGCAGCCTCTTTGAAAAGAAGACACCAGGATGATGGGGGAGGTTTAATCAATTGTACTGCTATTTTATAAATAAAACATTAAGAGTACCTTGGTCTTTCTGAGTGTCCCTTCAATGAGACTCCCAATCCCTTGCAAGCATTAACTAGCACTCAGATCCCTAATTCCAACACCAACCCTCTTCCTGTTTGAAAAACAGGGAAACTGAGCACAGAAGTTGCTTGTGATCATGCCTTGAGGTTCCTCTTGCTGCATCCATGTGTTTCAGGGAGTCACTTTATTCCTTTAAATATTTCACACACCTTCCCTGTCTGTGTGAGGATCTAACAGTGTCTGCCAGTTGGACTGTCTGCTGGGAGCCAGGGTGACATGCACAGACAGCTCTGCTCAGTGAAATGACAGGACTGCAGGCAGTGTGGGCAGGTTTGCACTGCCCTGTATGTGCTGATGGATATTGTTGGAGACGAAAATTGGCTCCAGGCACTTACAACCAGAGGGTTATTAGTTCGGGTGGCTTGTTTAATTCTCTAAGTGCTGGGGTGGGGGGGAAAGAGGTATTTGCAAACATCATTTCAGGTTAGCTTGAAGTTTATTGGGCAAACATGCTGGCTGCTGGCTGCCAACATGGGCTTGCTGGTGTGAAAGTGTGAAGCAATCTTTGAGAACAGTTAGTGCAGACAGACCTGTGCTTGACAAGGTCCTGGAAAGCAGACTGCACTGCCTGTGGCCTCAGGAGAGCTACAGAGATGCCTACAAAGAAAGGAGTGGTGTCCAAGGAAAGCTCATCTTGCTGAAAGCCCTGCAGGCAGAGAACTAAGCCAGCTTCTCATTCATCACCAGTCACTGCTCTTCCAAAGCACTGATAAGCTCACTGTGTGGTGAAACAAATTTTACTGGACTTCTGCAATGGAGAGACTTAGCCAGCCTCTCTCAGCCAGCCAGGAGAGGCTGAGCAGCTTCACTGTTGTGGTTCCTACCAGCAGCTGCAGGTCTCCAACACTGTCCTGTTGGGCTTCTCAGCTGCTCTGCTCCATATAGTGGGACACACTGCAATTAATCTCTGATAATTTCCCCTTCTTGTCTGCAAGGGATGTGAAATGACAGACTCAAGCTCTAGCCTTGTCAGGACAAGGGTGGCTCTGCCATCCAGGACTTGGATCCAGCTCTGGGTTCATTTCACAGCTCTGTCACAGGAGCTCACATCTGCCTGTCCCTCTGCTGTGTAAAACACATCTTGCTCTTCTAGATGTGCCAGAAGAGACAAGTGAAAAACCCACACAGAGGGATGCAGATGCTGCTGAAGCAATAAATAACCTACTGCAAACCTCTGCCCCAGCACAGCTGAGTCTCCTAAGGTTGCCAGGCTGCCCCTTGCTCACACTTTCTAGGCAGCCCACAGGTTCACCTGAGCGTTCATAGGACTCGTGACATGTGTTGGTTATTTCTGCAGCCAGGTCCATGTAGTGTTGCCTCCTCTCCTCTCCAGCATGTTCAGCTCCAAGTGCTATCATGCCCCCAGAGAAGCAAGCCAAGTGGCCCATTTTGTGGTCCAGGACACCACCCCTCCATTCAGCAATGTAGGTCAATCCTCCAGCAGACTTCTTGACCAAATGCTTTTCTATTGCCTAAAGGGATGAAAATCAGGATTTCAGGATACTCAGTGGACAGGGAGAGGAGTGAATCCCAAAGAAACCCAAAGATCTAAGATTTCCCCCTGGAACATTCTGATGAACTCTGTCCCACACAAAATACACAGCAGCAACCTGCTCCTTACCTCCAGTGCATCATCATACATCCTTTTAGCTTCAGAGTCTTTCTTGTCTGACATCAGCCAAGATTTGATGAGATACTCATAAAAGCTGTCCCCAAGCCCCCCAATGGAGACATGGTCTGTAGTGGGAAAGCCAGAAAAGAATTTCAGGTTCATGATCTACAAGGAGCAGCTGCTTTACAAAGAGCAAACAACCAGGTCCTATTTAATGTCCTTGTTCCTGCCTTCCTCTTCCCAGTTTCCTGGGGAGAGCTTGCAGCATTTCTCTTTCAGAAAGGGAAGAAAGGTGGAAAGTGCAACCAGAAGAAAAATGTGCTGTCATTTTGCAAAGCATTAGTCTCCATTCTCAAAACTATTCAGAGGTCCTTATTTTCCAACAGTTATTTATACTGCAACTTGAAGATGCTTCCTGTTTAGGAAGCAATCATCATAAATCCCAGCCTCATAAACCAGAGGCAAGGGCAGTTATTATAGAGCTCCACCTTTATGAAGCCAATGGGTGCTGCCTCCTGCCTCAGGCCAAGGGAGAACACGTTGGATCCCACAGAGCTGCCAGCAAGGGGCTGCTGAGGGGACCTCTCCACTGTGCCATTGGTATTCCTGGCTCGTGGTGGGACTCTGGGCCCTGGGGAAGGCTGGGGCTGTGGGCGTATTAAAATGATAAAGTCAGGTACAAGGATGTGCAGTGAATATTTTCTCCTGCAGAAATAGGATTTTCAAGGCTATCTGCTCAGAGTACACAATGCTGTGACCTTCCTGGAGAGCAGGATGCTAAAGAGCTGCACTGTGAAATGGGCAAGACAGCTGCAGGTTTCTGCCTGGGGGGAACTGCTGGGTGGATTGATATCTTTAAACTGTACCACTGGGGGGAAAGCAGCATTCAGTTTTTCAAGCAGCCAAGTATTTCCCTCTTATAAGAGCAAGACAAATGACCCACCATGGACTGAAGCATCCCTGTTAATTAACAGTGTCCACCTCTACGTCTACATGGGTCCCTGTTCAAAACCTCAGCAGATGCAGATGTTTTATTTTCCCTCTCACTGTACACACACCAAGTCCTGAGGCTTATTCTAAATGCTAAATGCCTCCAAGAGAAGAGATCAGCAGCCATGGTGTGAAGAGCAAATATCCCTGACACAGTGTGTCCAATGATCCAGGGATTAATCCATGGCAAACCAATGAGATTAGACACATGAATTCAGAAGGAAAACAAAAAGAGAACAGACTATTTGCAAACACTGGCTGCACAGCCTGTCTTTTAAAGAGAAGCTCTGTGATCCTAAGTGTGTCATTCATAAAGTCACCAAAGCAGGAGCTCTGGTACATAATTGCTTTCCATATGGCATCAGCTTTGCCAGCATTTGCCTCCCAGGCACTTTGCATAAACAAATCTCTTATTTCAGCAGGGGACTGTGCTTTCATTTGCTAAAGGTAACAACTGCACTCAGGAGAGGTCCAGCTCTGCCTCTTCAGTTAGAAGATCTGCTCATTAAGCCAGGTCAAAGATACAAGTTTTAAGAAAATCACAGAAATTCCAAGAAAAACAGCTTCCCACAAACAGCTTTAATGGTAAGAGTGAGAATGAGAGGCTGGCACCTACAGGGAACATCCCTGAGGCAGCTGCCTCCCTGCTTTGGTCTTATTCTAGTTCTCACCAGCAATATTGGAGATGCAGAAGAGACTGATGAGCCTTTTGCCCTCCCTGGAATACAGAAGGATACCAGAAGGTCGTATTATGAGCAAAGTCCAGGAGAGACATTATCTCTAATCCTTCTGCATAACTCAGCCTACTCCAGAATAAGTAATCACAGGCTACTTTTCATGAGCTCCAAGAACCAGCAACAGGCCCCTCTCCATGTCAGGAGTGGGAGCAGGTCAGTACCAGGAAGAAAAATTTGCAGACATAAATAGAAGTAAATTAGTGGCAGAACAGATGAATACTGAGTATCAAGCTGGGTATTTTAATCATCTGAATTAAGAATACAGCTCTTCAGCTTCCCAAAGATTCTGTAACTAGCAGTTATGGCAACAGACAGTCACGTCTCCTCAGCACCAATGAACAGGCAGAATTAATGCTTATGGCTGGGAAAAGGTGCAGGGTGGCTGCCAGCTGGGAATAACCTAAAGAAAACAGCATCTCAGGGGAGCAGCAGGGGATGGGAGATGATCTTTTCAACTGGAACACATTGCAAGAACTCTGCAGAGCCAAACGTGGAGGAGAAGCTGAACTGCTGACAAAGAGACTGGAAAACTTTGAAGATCAATTAGTGGGACAAACACAGAGGCCTATTTTCTTCCCTCGTGGCACCAAAGGACAGCTCTGGTTTAATGGGACAACTGCAACCATCTGAGATGCTTTGTTGGGACACCTTTCAAGCCAAACCCTGTCAACCAGAGGTGCTGATGTGGTCAGGGGTTGCTCACAGTGCTCTCTCACTGTCTCAGCTGATGGCAGCCATGCAAATGACTGTCAGTTACAATCAGAGCTGTTAATACCGTAGTTAGAAAGGGCTGGAGCAATTCAGCAAAGCAAATAGTGCAACAAGCCATGGGGACACCAGGTAGTGCAGTGACTCAAAGAAAACTGCTTGAACTATATAAATATAATCCACTGATGGGTTAAAACCAGCTTTTTCAAAAGGAGACTTTTCTTTCCTTTGACAGAGAGACATAAATTCCATCAACCCTCCCCTGCCAAAACAAGCAGAAAGTTGAGGTCAGAGACCTGGGGCCCAGCAGCAGAAGCAGCCTCTCCTGTTCCTACCAGAAGGCAAATTTCTGCCCTTTGGTGGCACAAGAAGAAGGGTACAGTCTCTACTCTGGATAAGAAAGGGGCTGTGTGTGTAAAGCAGGAAAGTAAATAATCTTTCCTTGAGTATACTGCTTCTAATATTTCCTTGCTCTTTCCAAGCTGCTTCCTGGTTATTTGCTCCTCTTTAAGTTCAGAGCTCTTTTGATACCCATGTCAGTGCCAGGTTCCCAACAAGAGAAAATAACATGTCCTTGTCTCACCCCCCTTGCACAAGTTGCACTGCTCAATGGGTACCACCATGGCAGGCAGATGAGTGCACACAGAGAATGCATCCCTAGTCCTGGGGGGTCTGAGTCTCTGTAGGGCCCCTGCCCCTCCAGATGGTTCGTCCCTTGCTGCAGCACACCTGGGAAGCACATCTCCTGGTCCTTCTGCCACAGCCTTCACGTGCAGCTCCCAGGGAGGTCTGTGGGCTACGTGATGACTGCAGGGCAAGAGATGTGCTGATTTCTAATATCTGTGTGATGAACCATGTACCATTATCCTTCCCGGTGCCAGAGAGGCCCTAATTCTCTCTGGAGGTGAGACACTCAGCTGGAAACAAGGCTGATGGAATAAGTGTACAATTACTATATTGCACCTTACAAATCGGGTTGCATTATCTAATCACATGTATACAGGCTGCCTGACAAGACATTTCCTTGGCTTGCTGCTCTGACAGTTGCTGTTGCTTCTTGAAGAATAATGGAAAGAGTAAAATGCTCCAGGCAGGACTGAAAGCAGAGTGATACTTACGCTGCACCCAGTTCCCTGTCACAGGACTGAGAAAGTTGGGATAAAGGCCCTGGGGCTTCTCAACTCTGTTCAGGACTTTGCGGATGTTCATCACCTGGGAGAGATGAGAGGCAAGAATTGTGTTATTTCTCTGCTCAAGAGGTTTTGCACTGTCACTGAGAACTTGAGCTCAGCAGTGTTGATCCCTGGCTGAACCAGCACAGCAGCCTGGGATGCTGGGAATCATCACACCAGCAGAACCCACTGACACGGCTCTCCAGCTCTTCTGGAGAAACTTTCCTGCTGGATCCCTCAGCACAACCTTCATCCAGCTCTGTGGGATCTTAGAAATTATTCTGAAACCCCTACAAAGCCCCAGCTCAGCAAGCAGTGGAAGCAGTTTGTTAAGAGTGAAGCAATCCTGAGGATCTGGGATCTGGGTGGAAATGCATCAGATGGGGAGGGTGATTTTTTCCATGATCCAAAGGGAAAGGAGTGGCAGGGATGAGTGACTCACACAGTACTTAAATTCACTATGTGGTCACTTAACATGATGAATTGGGGCCTTTAATTCCAACAACAGACAGCTCCTCTAATACACCAGAACAGCCACACTTACTCTTTAAAACCTCCCTTGGTTTCACCCCCATTAAATCCAAAAGGCCTTTCCCATAAGAGACAAAGTTAAATTGTATGCAGCATAAATATTCTATTATAACCTACAGAGCAGTTAATACACTCTAAACCTTTTATGAAATTAGACCATTTGTAGGCCAAAAGCTGGCTGCAGACTTAACTCTGTGCTTCCAAGTGAGGTGTCAGGCTGCATAATATTGACTGAAGTTTAGTAGCGTGGCACGTTAATCACAGAGTGAAGAGAAGACACAGATGGACTTTATTCTTGCTAAAATCACAGCAGTCCCAAGCTGCAAGTTAATGAGTTGATCTGTTCCTCTGAAGTAATTTCCCACAGGATGAGCTGTTTGAGCCCACATCATCCCACATTTTGTCCCTCAGAGGGTGTTGGGATGGCTGGGATGCATCTGCTGGCACACAGCAGGCATGGCCACTCAGGGGAGGCCCCTAGAAAGGTTGTGCCCTTTCCCTCTGTGGGCTTGGGAGGCAAAGAGGAAAACATGTTAGGCTGGAGGCAGAGAATCATAGAATCATCACATCCCAACTCTTCTGCCATGGGCAGGGACACCTCCCACCAGCCCAGGTTGCTCCAAGCCCCATCCAACCTGCCCTTCAACACTGCCAGGGATGGGGCAGCCACAGCTTCCCTGGGCAACCTGGGCCAGGCTCTCACCACCCTCACACCCAAGAATTTCCTCCTCATGTCCAACCTCAATCTCCCCTCTCCCACTTTTAATCCATCCCCCCTTGTCCTCTCCCTCCCTGCCCTTGTCCCAAGTCCCTCCCCAGCTTTCCTGGAGCCCCTTCAGGCCCTGGAAGGTGCTCTAAGGTCTCCCTGGAGCCTTCTCTTCTCCAGGCTGAACACACAATTTGTCTCACTCAAAGCTGGTTCCTCAGGGACATGCAGTGAAAGTTAATGACTTGCTGGTATCCAACAGCATGTTTATTAAGTTGCTCTCACATGCACTACAAGAGCACTTGTGGGGAAAAAAAAAGAACAAAAAAAGAACGCTTAAGGTAATGGATAATATTAATAGATTTTCAGTTACAAGTTACACAAAAGGAATCCAATATGTCAACTGTCAGGCCTTTCCTACACAAGAAACCTCAGCAGAAATCTTGCTGGCTGGAGCAGAACATTTAATGCTTGTTTAGAGTAAAAAAAGTCTGCAGGTACAAGGCACTACTATTAGGAAATCAGAATTAACAATTACCTTTGCAGCCTGAATGCAACAGATGGTTTAACTTTGGCTGTGCCTTTGTCTGAGGTTCTACTACAACTTTACATGACTGAAACACTGGGAAAAACACCCTCAGTGGCTGCAGAGATGGAGAGGGGGGGAAGGGGTGACAGCAAACGTCAGTGGCCAAAGGAAGCACTGGGGGAGCTGCCTTCCAAGGCCTCCTGGTGTGGGGGGATCTCTACCAGGTTCTGGCTGTCACGTTCCCAGTGAGTTGGTGCACAGGATGCCCTGAGGCCTGGGGACCTCTGCAGCCTCAAGGCACAAACTTCCCACTCTGGAAGGTTTCTGGTACTGGAACTGGGGAGAAGGAACACTTCACTGTCTGATGCAGGCAGAGCCCAGTGTCACTCTGCTCCAGCTCTGACCCTGGGAGGATCATAGAATCATAGAATATGCTGAGTTGGAAGGGACTCATCAGGATGAAGAGACCAATTCACCAAAGACCAAGCTGGGCAGTACTTGCCTTTTCTGCAAACACTGGGTTGCCAGAGAGCTCTGAGAGGTGCAGGAATTCCAAGTGCAAGGTCCCAAATTCTGCCAAGATGCTGCTTCCAGCAGATGCCCAACCCCAGCTCCAACTCATGCCACTGCAAGGAGAGAAATGGGAGCTTTCATTGCCAAGAAAACACAGTCAAAGCCTGAGGTACCCCCACCACCCCAGAACAGATCCTGCCTGTGCACATCAGGTCTCAACAAGGGCCATAAAAGGACACACATTGATTTTTAGGACTCTCCCATGGAACAGTTCTAGTGGGATGAAGCAGCTTTAGAGGATTGCTCAGGACAGGGTAAACAGACTGCACATCATGGGAAACTGCCTTCTTTTTGTGGGAAAGGAATCCCTTCCAAACAGATCAGCTTAAAGCAAACTTTGGAAGAACACTGACAACCTGCCCTACACAAGATTCTTTGGGATAAAACATGTCTGGGCAGAATTCTCCCATCTCAAATGTCCCACAAGTCCAACAAAACTGTTCCTTTCTGGAGAATCCAGCCTGTCCCTGAGCACCTTGCTTTAACAAGATCTCACACTCCTGATGTGACATGACACAGACATTCCCAGTGGATGCTTGTTTGCAAGGGGATACAGCAACACTAGGGGAAAGGTGTCATTGGGCAAACCTGACTGGAATGCAAACCAAAATGGGGCATCTTGACATCTGCCCAGGACAAAGCTAACTTTGGAAACACCCCACTGGTGCTCATCTCATGTGCCCTGCAAGAACAGGAGGGCCAGGACAGAACTGCAGAAGGTGGCAAACACTGTGTGAAGAAGCCAGTTACACAAGGTGCCTCCACCCCTATGTTTGAAATCCTGGGATCCCTTCTCAGTTTCTGTTTGTTTTCCCTCCCCCTACCAAGCCCATGCAAAGAGAGGAACTGGCACAGAAGCAAAGCAAGGAGTCGATGCTGGGGATGAGGAGGGCATCACTTCTCAGTCTGAAAGAAAATTAACCAAAGGACATGGGAGAGCAGAGGCTCTTCCAAGCTGTAACAGCCTTATCTTTGGATTTGTTTTTACATTGGACCACTTCTTTCTGCACCGTTCTGCTGAAGATTACAGCTCCATGTCTCTCTGAAATCCACAGACATGAACATGTCCCGGATTCTTGAGCCTTGCTCATGGAATTCTCAGAGTTGGCAGGGACCTCTAGAGATCAGCTGGTCCAACTCCCCTGCTAAGCAGGATTGCCCAGAGCACATCACCCAGGGCTGCATCCAGGGGGGTCTTGAATATCTCCAGAGAAGTAGACTCTACAGCTCCCTGGGCAGCCTGTCCCAGGGCTCTGTCACCCTGAGAGTAAAGGAGTCTCCTCATATTCCAATGGCACTTCCCATGTTCCAGCTTGTGTCCACTGCCCCATATCCTGTCCCTGGGCACTGCTGAGCAGAGTCTGGCTCCATCCTCCCTGCACCCTTTAGATACCGACAGGCATTGATAAGGTCTCCCCTCAGCCTTCTCTTCTCCAGGCTGAACAGTCCCAGCTCTCCCACCCTTTCCTCATCAGGGAGATGCTCCAACCCCCCAGTCGTCATTGTTCCCCACCTCTGGACTCTCTCCAGCAGTTCCCAGTCTCTCTCAAACTGGGGAGCCCAAAACTGGTCCCAGTTCTCCAGCTGTGGCCTCACCAGGGCAGAACTGAGGGGCAGGATGACCCCCCCAAACCTACTGGCCACACTCTTCCTTAGACACCCCAGGACTCCACTGGCCTTCTTGGCCTCACGAGCACATTGTTCCCAAAGCAGCAAGTGCTGCTCCAAGGAAGTTGGGCTTTGATGTCCAGGTCTCTGCAAACCCTGAGGAGGCACCAGGTTCCCAGGGATGGGGGTAACACTAGATGGCGCCTGGAAGCTTGGAAGGAAAGGGTTTGTTGTTTACTTGAGGCTCAAACTAATGATCTCTCTGGGTTGGGGGAAGTTTCCTCTCCAGGTGATACACGGAAAAGCATCTCAGGTCCAGAGCTGTTTGTTTCACCTCCAGACAGTCGGAGCCATCAGACAAAGCAACATGTTGACGCTGTTTCCAATGGCTCAGTCACTGCCAAACCTCAGCCTGCCCTGCAGACCCGCAGGGCTGGATCAGCTTCTCAGTTGCAAACACTGTGTGCAGCTCCAACGGGCACCCCAGGAACACCCAGTGTTTATGGCACAGAAGCTCCCTGAGCAGGCAGAAAGGTCCTCCAGTCTGAGCAGGCTCATGTGGGCATGAATATAGCAGTGGATGCAGCTGCTGCTCCTGGCAGCTGCCAGCCCTGGGGTGGGTGAGCTGAGCAATCCCACCCTGCTCTCCTGCCTAGAAAGAGTCTATTACTTTTCCTTTATTTACTGCACTGAAGGGATGTTGTAACCAACACCATTTCCCAAACAGAAACTGCCTTCTGAGCTAGTTCAAACGAGGAGTGGCTGGGAGCAGCCAAACGGGGCCGTGTTTGTTGTGACAGCAGCTGTGTGGGGTCACAGAGACTGACACGACCCTCCCCAACACACAGCCAGCCCCTCCTGCCAGGCCCCTGCTGCTGGGAACACAAGCCCTGGCTTGCAAATCACAGGAACACTCAAGGAGAGGTGGTCTGGAGGAAACAAGAGGATGTCTGCAATGTGTCCCTGGGTCAAAGAGCAGCCTGAAATGACCCCCTGCAGCAAAACATATTTTCAGCATTACAGATTGGACAAACTGGGTCTTCACAGTTTCCCTGTTTTGTAAGATCTCAGAGGAAACTACTGGTTGAAGGACCTTGGTCTTCAAGACAAAAGGAAATGGGCCAGGCTCTCTTTATCCCCCAGATAAGTGGGGCTTCCTTAAACACTGCCCAGGGCAAGCATGGGATGAAAATGGCTGAATCATCCAAAGCAGCACAACAGTGTGAGATCAGGAGAGGAGGATGATGAAAAATCTGGAGGTGGGGAGGGTTTAGGGGAGATGTGAAGGAGAGCAGGGGCCAGGGACCCTGATCAGGAAGCATCAGGAGAGGAACTGCAGTGCAACACACTGGCAGAGAGCACAGAGCAGCAGCCTGAGAAGACAATGTCCTCTAGGACCTGGCAGACAACATAGCAGTTGGACCAGGAGGGAAAACAAGCCTGTGTGAGATATGATAGTGTGTGTGCAAAAACAGAAGGCCACAGAGAAGCAAATGAATGGAGAGGGGACAAAAGAGGAAAAGGTGGTGTGGGGTGATAAGAATAGAGAAATCCAGCTGGCTATGGGAAGAGCTGGGGGTGGGTGTCTTTGTACTTGGGTCCTCAGAAACTTGTAAGCAGAACTGACTTAATTCCAGCTTTTGTTTGTTTCAGATTTCTCAATGTCATTCTTAACCCACCCCCCCAAGCTTCCACCACCACCAGCCTACACATGATGCAAGACTGTCCCCCTTTTGAGATGTTGAGGTGTCTGGAATTAGCACAGCCTTACAAAAGCATAAATGGTGAGAAAATTCCTTCTTGCAGAACTCTATGGGCTTTGGTTTGGCCCTGACATTTGGGTCAGTGCGCTCTAACAGCATCACCTCACTCCTCTGCTCTCACTTCCACACACTATCTCACTCTGAGTACCTCCCTTTCCCTCTGGCTGTTCATCATGTTCTCACAGGAGCCTACAGATTTAACTCCCTTCATCCTTGCTCCTAAATCAATGGAGCCCTCACAGCAGCTTGATGGTCCTGAAGCCAGAGCTCAAGCCAGTAATATGGATTCTGGATTGTGGGCTCAGTGCTATTTTGATTTTCTTTGCTCTCAGTCAAGGTCATCAACAAAACATTTTGGCAATGTCTAGCCAGACACAGACTGTTTCAATTGTCTTCACAAAGGGCAGGGGAAGGTTTGGCATTTCTGTGAAAGGTTAGTCTATGCTGAGTCTTTATCAGCCACAAAGGAAGCAGAAGGTCTCTTCTGCAAAAAAGAAACACTTAAAAGTTGTGGTGGCTCAAATTTTCTCTGGGATCACGTGCAGCTAAGACAACTGGAGGGTGACAGTGATATTTGAGCAAGGGATCAGTGTGAGCCAAACATTTGAGAGTTTTGCACTCCAACGAGACAGGAGCCAAACAGGGGATTTGGGCTAAGGGATGAATAATGATTTTCATGGCTGCTGCTCTGAGTTCTGCAAGAGGTGAGGATGAAAGGCTTTTGTTAACCCACATCTCCTGCTGCCTCTGTTTCAGTCAGCATGCAGCTTTTACCCTGGGGAATCTGTTTGTAGGCATCAAAATGAGCCAGTAAGCCCTTACTGGCAGGGAACACTGTCTACTAGCAAGAATCAGAGACTGGGAGTCCAGCCTCCAGGTTTGCCTCTGTTTGCTGAGAGACTTTCAGCAAGGTATTTAAACCTAGCTGCCTCCAAGCTACCCTTCAGCA